TATTAAGAATAAAGAGAAATTGCGAAATTCATTACACTCTCAGTCGAAAAGTATTATTGTAACCGTCTATACTCCCACCATTGCTTTTTAATTCCTTCTACACTCTACTCATGAAAAAAAATGTGTTTCTATTTTATGCTTAGAAGACATGAGCTTCGGCAATTAATAATACAAATTTTCTTCTCTTACCCTTAAACTGATTTGATTTGCATACGCTATGGAGTAATGATTTGAAAACTTAAAAGCAGATTCCGGAAAGTCTTCCCATTAATTAATTGTGGAATAGTTGTGCACTTATGTTAAGTACAAGTTTTTTTTGTTGCGAAAATGCGTGTCAGCTTTGCTAAATATTTGCATTTCTACGAAGGAAAAATCCGGGGATAAAAACTGCATTGTACGTCGGAAAAAATATGAACTCCTACACTTAATAACGGAAGACGGTATCGAAGGGTGGAGAGGCAATGGCAAAACACAACTGTCGTGGCAACGTAATAGTCGAAATGAGACAGGACTGAGAACCGAACCACAAGCAAAATCATACTCCCAGCAGAGAGCAGAGGTGGCTTTTGGGCCTTAGTTAATAATATAACTTAGTAAACAATAATGCCATCAATTGTAAAAAAAGGTGCATGTCATCACTTATGTTCAGTGTTTGATTGTTAATAATGGAAAAGAAAAACTAATCCAAGTGTTTATCGTCCCGGGTATTAGTTGGGGCAGGTTGCGTAGGTATCGCAAAGTGATAAAATATTGAAAACAGGTAAGAAGAACATTGGGGGTGGGGGCTAGGCCGACCACTCCGTACGTTACACTACTTTGCCTAGTAAAATTTTTCGTAAAAATTTCTCAAAAGTGATTGGTTTTTAGAGTAGACACAAAAAAAGAGTATAGCGCACAACCGACAGATAGAAAAATTTATATCGATCGTCACAATAAAAGGTGATTCCAGTCAGCTTAATATTCCCTGTACCAAAAGACCTGTACGGCGTAACAACAAACGCTGGACGAAAGAGAGAATTAAATCAGTGGAATACGAAAAGCTAAGTGTTGTCCAAAATGTTAAAAGTATAGAAAAACTTATCTCTTCTAAGAGAGAACATAAAGATTTTGGACTTTTAAGGGCCCTCTAAAGTACAATAGAACCGAATATCCGAGGCGATAATATGAACTAATCGACGTAAAACGAGCTAAACTGTTGCCAGTGGTGGGCCTTAGTTTAATAGAATCGTATTAGTTTACGACTCGTAGTTTACAGTGTAAACCAATGGTCGCAATGTCATGAAATTTTCACGCGTCTCGTTTGAAGGTTACGAATATCCACAAATCATGCGGCTCTTTCAAAAATCATACCATATATATATCAGACAGATGATTTAGTGAATGATGTATTATTTTGTCCCTTTCGGCGAGTTTCTATATTTAAATGAATCCCTAGACTGGCCTGGAGTGGCCAATTTTTACGGCAGACTAAATGTTTTCGTTGTCACAATCTAGACTCGTTAATTACAAATACCCATAAGCACACATGGCATATCCACCTGCCTGCATCCTTATTATAGCCATTAGTTCTATCTTTCGTATTGAGTTTCAGAGCCACAAAAGTGAAACGTGGTATATATAATCTTAGTGAAAAGCTGCATAGCCAGGAGGAAAAGTCGGGCTAATAGATCCACAAATTTGGAAACTTAAAAGAATCTTAAGTGAGAAATCAAACGCCAGCAGACATACATCGATCGAACGTATGATATAAACATTTGAGATACAGTTATTGCCAAAAGTAGTCCATGTTAGTCCACGATAGACCAAACATTTTACAGTTTTTATATACCTTATATTCGATATCGATAAACTAGTCCATTTTGGATGAAAAATGAATCGTCTTCACTTGAATGCTTGCCGAGCATGCAAAAATCATTAGTTATAAAATCCTATCCAACTTAAGGTAAACGCGCCGAGTGAGAACGGCTTCTGTGTTGCAATTTATTTATACTTTCCAAAAACTATTATGCTTAGTAGCCTTCTTGTTAATTTATTGCTTGCGTTAATTTATTGCTAATTGACGGCCGTCCTTCAGGAATTGTTAGGGAGACGCAGACTACAGGTAACGCAAAATATGTTATTATTAAACATTTTATGTTTGCGTTTCGCAATGGATCCTTTAATATTACATACTTGGTGGCATTATAAGCGAGTCTTTTAATTATTTCCAAGAAGCTCACAAGTTTAAAGTTCATTCAAAGCATTGACTAATTCATTTACTTGAAACTCAAATGAAGGGAAAGCTAAAGGACGAGTTGGAAAGAGAAAGACTTATCAAAATTTCGGTAAATACCGGATTGTGCATTAAAAACGCCCTCAATCATCGTCATTGAGATATTTGCCGCATATTTATTTATATTTGTTTACATAAAGGATCGTAAAAAGCAACTTGAATAGCGTCGTTTTTGTTTTAACTATAAAAAGCATTTTTATGATGATAATAATATTGTTTAAAAAAAGAAAAGTGGCATAATATGTACGTATGTACGTATGTAGTACGTATAAAAAAAGCATGAATATTAACCATTAACTAAAGAAATGTAATAAAAATGTTAAAGGCCTACAGAGAGAGCAAAAAAGTTATGAGCAATAAAAACCGTATATAGAAACGTATACGTCGGGCTTACGTTGAAACCTATTACTACTGCTGCCCTTTACGTAATATGTCTTGTAAATACGTACCTATAAAACGAGAACGCAAAGATTTCGTTAATGCTTCTCTTTTATCTTTTTCTTTTTATACCCTACATCAAGGGTGCAGGGTATATTAATGTTGTGCGAGCGCATGTAACAGGCAGAAGGGTTTAAGGTAGGACCTACGTCTTTTTACACCTGCCCATTTAGGATCATTCTCTGTCTGCCGGTCCATGTATTTTTGTGTTCAGCCTAGAGATCGCAATTTGTGAGATAATTTGATAAAATTTGCTTTACTGCGCCCTTTGACTCAAGGACGAACGCTATTGAAAATGATTCAGATCGGACTACTTTTTCGACCATTTTTCATGCGATACCTTATATTGAAGAAGCAGTAGATAAAATTTCTCCAGCAATAGAATTTGGACTTTCTAAATTTGTACGAAAATTTGGTTCGGTCGGGGTACTTTTTCGAACCCGCTCTCAAATAACCGTTCCTAAGAAAGCTGAAAAAAAAAACACATTTTGATCACATGGGGCTTTTATGTAGGGCTTATATAGATATTGTCATGAAAAGCAAACCCATCTGCGGAGAGAAAGTATATTTTTGGTCTTTTGTCCCAGACACTGAAATAACATTTGTGGGAAGTAAATTACTTTTGCTAAGTTTGGATCACGTCTTGTGATGTTTTGGGCATTTTCCATTAAGCGGCTATTACTGAAGTATTTCCTTGCCTGAGAGTAATATGTAGCTTTTCCGGTCTAATTGCTAAAACGAGTGAATAACTGTACTTGGCGAACTAGCGTAGGTTATCTAAAAGTTGGCCTTGCACGTCTATAATATTTTTACTTGTTTTCTTGATATTAAACATTTTTGAGTTGTTGTTGTTATTATTATTGTTGGGCTTTACTTTTCCATTTATGATAATAGTTTCGTGTTGAAAAAATAAAAACGAAATCCAAACAAAACAACACAAAGTAACAATGAAATAATCATACTTTATAACAACAATAAAGAAAGATATAACATTGATTGTAAGAAGTTTCACTGATTGTTAACTCAATTATTTTTGCTTTTTACTTTACGCCAAATGGTAAATCCTCTGCATTAAAATGAATGAAAAAAGCGAAAAGATATGGGTTTACACGAATGGAGGTAATAATAATAATGAGCCTGTATTAAAATTTTCACATACGTATATGTAGTTGTGACAATAATTGCATATAATTACAGTTAAAATGAAATGAAAAAAGATCAGATTCGAGTAAATAATGAAGAATTCTCGCTATTTTTATACCCATCGTTCTGTCAAAACGAAGGCAACTTCGGAGATCCCATAAAGTGTATATATATATATTCTTGCTCAGCATCAAATTCTAATTCTGTCGGTCGGTGTAAAATCTCCTGGTTTCAAAAATGCATCAAGTCGTTTCAAATTTGGTGCAACGATTAGAAATTCTTAGATGGAGGTTGCATTGAAATTGACCCAAATTGATTCAAGGATACGATCAAAGTGCAACATACGCTGAGACTGTCTATCTCTGGTTTCAAAAAATTTGTTGTTTTGCTCGTTCCTTGCAAAACACAACAGATGCGACAGTAAAAATTTGGATTTATATGACATAGGTGGACCTAGGTAGGAGGAGTATCAAATCGGAAAAAATCGACAAGCCTACTCAATGTCGAAGAATAGGAAAACTTTTCTGTTTTATTGAAACGTTTGCAACACTCAGAGCCCATACAGCGTCAACATACTATTGATCACTATTAAGTAGTGATGGGTATAAGAGACTCGTATGAGAAATTTCTCTTGCAATTACCTCACCTTGTACACCCTGTAAGCTGTGTTGATCGAAGTAATCTAAATTAAAGGATTCGTTGTTTAAATCGTTATCAGTCAGTCAGGTCAAACTAACGTTCAGAAATACGCTTCCGAGCCACAAGTCAAATGGCTCTTGCCGATATGAAGGACACATTATCATTTGTAGCACTGTAGCACTTATCGTCTATACTTTTAACTGGCATTTCACAGGCGAGTCACTAAAGGCCGCAGCCAATAGGTGAACTCGCTAGACTGTGCTGAAATTTCGAACAAGAGTTATTTGCTTAAGAATCCCGCCTGTTACCTTGATTAGTTATTATTATCTTAGAGCAAAAATTTCTTAAATGACAAAATTTCATATATTCTTTATCCTAAATAAACATTATCTGATCAATAATTGTATTTAGGCCGATCACTCTATTGCAGGAGTTTCTAATAATTTGCTCTCTATTCACTGATTTAACATTGCCTTACGATTTTAAAGCTTTAAAGAAAGGAACATACCTTTACTCGCCGGCGGTTTCCTGGTAGCCCAATTCGTTCGAATCGAGCGTGATCCCAGCCATTGGCCGTTCATAGCTGTTATGGCACTTTCCGCTTCCTTCGCATATAGGAAAAACAATATAGAGGAATATAAGTGTATAGAAATGGTTTTACGCATAATAGAAATATTTTACTTACAGATTTTTTAATAAAGGACACAAAGCCATAACCTTTTGATTTTAAAGTTTGAGGGTCACGCACCACACGACAATCCCTACAAAACAAAACGGACAAAATAATTAAATAGTTTATTAAAAAAATTTTTTTTTAATAAA